TCTCCATTCAGCCACCCACACCATCCTCTTCCAGTAAATGAAAACCAGGCAGGCTCTGGAACACCAAAGACCTCGTTCAAATCCTGTGTCCACTTCCATCCTGGCTCCCAGGGGACAAAGGGAAACTTGCTGTGTGAGGGCTGGCACCCTGGCCAGAGAAACAAGATGAAACACTTGAATAGGACGGCCAGCTGAGAAATGTGAAAGGAGGAAGTTGCTAGTGATTGAGGAGGCGGAGTGGGCAGGATGGGAGCTGATTGGCAGATGTGGGAAAGGAGTGGTGACCTGACTGGGGTGGGGCAGAGATTGTCTGGTCACCTGCAGCTACAAGGGGAAATAGCCCCCAGTGCTTTAGGGAGGCCCAGGCCCAGAGGTCAACACACAGGAATTGTCTGGACCTTGCTCAGGAGCAGGCACTGATTCAAGAGGCGGGAGGTGGAGTCTGAATTTCTGAATTTTTATAAGCTCCCAGTTAATGCGCAGGCTGCTGAACTTTGGGTGACCTTTTGAGGGGTGGCAGCCTTGGCAGGGGTTCTCAACCAGAAATGCGTACCAGAATCTCCTGGTAGCCATAGGAGGGGAGGGGGTTCTTGTCAAAACAGATGGTTTCCCCACCCCCACTGAGTGTCTGATTGAGGAAGTCTGGGGAGGGACCTGGGAACATGCATTTCTAACCAGTTCATGTTGCTGCAGGCCCGGGGCTCCACTTGGAGAAATACTGGCAGTAAGAAGTGAATGCAGGTGAGGGCAGAATTAAGTAAACACAGTTCAAAGCACCCCAACACAGATACTTTTCAAGATTTATTTACTTATGCATACAGAACTGGGGTGCTGGCCAGAGGTGCAGGGGCAGTGAGAGGATTCACCAGAGACAGAGCGGGGAGCAGAACAAGCCGACTGACGAAGTACACTGCTGAGGGGAGCAGCGGGCGGGTCAGGAGAGGCCTGCCATGCCATGCCAGGGATCCAGCTGGCACTGAAGTAGCTGTTGCCGTGGCCAGTTTTGCAGTGCTATGCTTTACCTGCTGTGCCACCAGAGAGGGCCGATACTTTTCTTTCCTTTTTTTTTTTTTTTGGATACTTTCTTTTTTAAAGTGCTACTACAGGCCTTTCCTGATAGTTGCAAAGGGTTAAAGCACAGCACTGTGAAGCTGTCCACAGCGTGAGTTTGATCCCCTGCCAGCGAGATGACCCACTTGGTGCAGCAGGCCTCTCCTGTCTCGCCCACTGCTCCCCTCAGCAGTGTATTTCGGTCAATCCACCTATTCTGCTCTGCCTTTGAAAGTGAATCCTCTCACCCCCACCCCCCGCACCTCTGGCCTGTACCCCAGTTCTTGTATGCATCAATCAATCAATAAAGTGCTACTGTACTGTTTGGTTCTTAACAAGAACCTGTTTTCTTTCCTCTGATCACTTGTTCTCTTCAGAACAGTGGATACAGAGGGAAAAACACGCCAGAAAATTGAAGCTTATAGAAAGTTAAATTCTAGCTTAACCAAAGTGGTCTCCTGCTTAGCAAAATGAAGTCTTCTAAATATTTCATTTTCTCTTCACCCCCATGTGTTCTGAGAACATGCTGAGCTGCTCTGCAGCATTCAGTCCTTGCGAGCAAGGGGTGAGGACATGTGCTGCTCCTATACCCACCTTTCTACCATGGTAGCCGTGGTGAAGAGCAAGCTTCCTAGTGGTCACAAGACAGGGGACCCATGATGTCCCCATGTGCCTACCCACAGTATGACTAGCAGCCTCTTCTTCCTTCGATATTCTCCCTGGGCCACCCTGGGAACCCCACTTCAGCAGGACACACACAACCCCCTCTGCATCCATAGAGGCCTCCCCCTGGCTGGCATGTCTTGGCACGATGGCTTATCCAGAAGCTCCCTTTCTGATGCCACTCATCCTTTCCTTCCAGCTTATAAGCAGCTGAGCTCAGGGCAGCCCAGAGTGTGGAGGGAAGCCAGATTGTCCCTGCCAGGGACCCAGAAGGCCTCTCCTCTGGATAGGACATATTTTATTCCTCAAAAAAATAGAAAGATGGTGTTTGGAGTGGAGCTTGGTGGCTCCCAAAGTGTGCAAGCCTCCAAGACTTTCTGGGATCTGTCTAGCTACATCCCTTGCAGGGGATGGGGGCAGAGGGCCCTTCAAAATGAGTCACCTTCTGATGTGCTTGGGGCTTGTTACATAGTGCCTGTTCTCTGCTTTCCAAACTACAGGTTTAAGAAAATCCATGCATCTTGAATTTATTTCTCAAAAAATTTTCAAAAAGAAATTTCCTAACACCCTGTGAGGACTCTGAAGGAAAAATAAGCCACACTTAAGGCATGCCAAGCTCCCACAATTATCCCAGTGAGGTCCTTTAGGAGAGTGGCACCATCTGAAGAATAGCAGAAGTTCTGCCTTTACTGCCTTCACTGTGACCACGGCCCTCCCCTCTGCAGCCAGGCTGGCAAGGCTTGGTCCAGCCCCTCCACAGGTCTGGGAGTTAGGAAACCACCCAAGTAACGAGGCTTGATTAGAGAGGGGTGAGGAGACTTTTATGTGCTCCTTCTCTCTTGAAGGGTAGGAAGAACCACCACAGCCTACACCCTCCATGGAGAGGGGCTCTGGCCTTGATGGAGCATGTCTGGGAGTCATTGGGCACTTGGGAAGAAGCACGAAGTGGGTAGACCCTGCATCTCCATACCCCCAGGCTGGCCCAACCTGGGCAGCAGGGGACACTGTCACTGTCCGGGGAGCACAGCCCCATGATTGAGATCTCTTTCCTGACCAAGTGTGCAACAGACACTTGACCTTGAAGGTTAGGGGAATCTCTTAGAGCCTCAGTTTCTACATCTGTCCATGGGGACAACGACCATTTCCTTAGACCTGAGTGTAAGTGATCTTGGCAAACTCTCACGTATTTCTGTATGTAAAGATATTACAGCCACTCTGCAAAAAGAGAGAGAGAGAAGATGAAAGAACGAGCCAAAACCAGCTGGTCTTGGTTCAGGGGGTTGTTCCTGAGGGATTCATCATCCTGGTGGGAGGGCAAGGATTGGGACTCGGTGGCATCCTGAACTGACTCAGACTTTGGGAAAGCCACTTCTTGACTTGCCACCGGCTCAGAGTCCATTCCCCTGCTCCCTTGCCTGAGAAAAACCATTTTCTAACCTTCATTCGAAAAATGAGGAGAAATGGAGGTGCAGAGAGGAGAAATGGAGGCACGTCTAGGGACCCAAGCGAGGAGGCCAATGCCCAGCGCTGCCCCTGACTCACCCAGCTCCTGCCTCACCATTGCCCTGGCATAGCCCCTGTTGGTTACTGCTCCACTTGGATATGCAGCAGAAGAAAGAGGAACAGCAGGAACAGACTAAAAATAAAAGGCAGGGAGGAAAGGCCTGGCCAGAGAGCCTGGCCAGGAACGCTAGAAATGGCAGGAATGAAGGGCTCTGGGAAGAGCAGGAGGGTGAGCCTTGCAGGGAAAAGGCACTGTTGAATATACTCCTGCTTAAAGGCAGCACAGAGGCCCACGTGACCAGGGACGCCAGCCCAGGACCAGGGCACTCAAGGGTCCTGGCCTGGGAGAGTGACTGAGCCAGAAAGCTCCTTAGTCCACGGGGATCTTCACAGGGGCCAAGCAAAGAAAAAGGCCCAGTGCAGGCCTCAGCATTGGAATCGTACATGCTTCTCCTGGCACGTCTACATTCTTGCTGTGCGGCCTAATGCTCTCTCATAACCTCTCTGAGTCTCAGTCTACCTATCTGTAAAAGACCCAGAACCTCAGACATTAGCCAGTCCCACCTCTCACTCAATCAGGATCAGAGTCCCTGGTGGCAAATCTCTGAGAGCTGGATGGGACGAGGCCAGCACAAGAGCAGCCCATTTTCCGTCTAACAGCTCCAAGCCACTCGAGAGCTCTTGCTTTTAATCAAATGGCATAATGGCTATGAAAGGGCTTGTGAAAATAAAAGCATAACTGAAGGATGTTGTTATTACCAATGCCATCAACAGAGCAATGTAGGGGAGTGGGGAAGAGGCTGGAGAAGGGCCTCCGGAGCGCGACCCAGCAGCTGAACGAGGGAGCTTGAAGATACAGGGCCCAGAAGGAGCCTGGGGTGACCAGACAGCAGCTGGAGAGAACGGAGAGAATGTCGACGTCCTGTCCACGATCCAATGAGTGGAAGAGGAGAATAAACATGCCAAGAACTGCCCCCCTACCCCAGCAGGCCTGGATCCCTGGGTCTAGTGCTTGCAACACACCTCAGACCTGCAACAAGAGTCCCTCTGGTTCCCTGGGAGGAGAACTTTTGTACTGGAAGGCAAGAGATGCAGTCCTGACGATGTTTCTATAGAAGCCCTCATTAAAATAATGGTGAGGGCCCTCCCTGTTGGTGCAGCACGTTAAAACACAGCACTAAGAAGCTAAAGCCACTTCAGCATGAGTTCAATCCCCGCCCCCGAAGTGATCCACATGGCACGGCTGACCTCTCCTGCCCGGTCAGCTGCTCCCCTCAGCAGTGTAGTTCGTCATTCTGCCTGTTCTTCTCCCCACTCTGTCTCTGGTGAATCCTTTCACTGCCCCTGAGTCTCTGGCCTGTACCCCAGTTCTGTATTATAAAATAAATAAGTCTTTAAAACAAAATAATAATGGTGAGGAACAAAGTGTGAAGCTTAGAAAGGGGGGCCAGGCACTCAGGCAGGAGTAAACATAGAGTTGCAGTCCAGTCCAGACTGGCAGCTGGAGACCGGAGCGGGAGAGCTGGTGGCCAGTTCAGGGCAAGCCATGCCTTCTACCTGCCGGCTGAAGGCAAGTGTGAGCCGTGGCGCCCCCCAGAGGGCAGAGCCGCAGATGGTGACCTCCCCAGGCCCAGTGCCTAGCTATCTCAAACCACAGGCCAACTTGCCCTCTGGTCGATGAAAGTCTCACTCCAAGGCCCACGAGCCTGGCTCAGGAAAGGGGGCTCAGAGAGAAGTGCAAAGGAGGTGGCCACCCCAGGATCAGGCAGGCGGAGAACACTCACCCACGATCTCATTCTCCTCTAGATTGATGGTCTCCAGTGCAGGCAACAAGGTGAGCTGCTCGGGGAAGTCATGGAACTGGTTCCGGGACAGGTCTATGGCCTTGAGGTGCTGCAGGGTGCTGACCTCGTTGGGGAGGCGGTGTAGAAGGTTCCCTTCCAGGCGGAGCTCTGCCAGGTGGAGGAGAAAGAAGAGGGTGAGAACCAGAGCAAGCTGGAGGCTGCAGGTGCTGCTGCTCTCACCTCGACAGTGTCCCACAATGGGAATCTGGCCTAGCCAGTGCTGAGGGGTAGGGGTGGGTTAAAGCTACAGTGCCATGTTCTGCAGACAGATGCTGGGGTCCCCACAGAGTAAGCACGAGGGGCAGAAACCGAGAGTTCAAGAGTTAATGATGCAGAACTCAGGGTGGGGGTGTCTGGAGACCTCACTGTGCCACCTACAGGTCACTCATTCCGATGGTTAATGAACCCAGGCAAGTCCTGGTCTCTTCATCTGTAGACGGAAACTAACAATACCCGTTTCGCTGCAGGGTGGACACGGACAAAGCACTTGGCTGGGTGCCTGCACAGAGGAGGCGTTCACACACGCTGCTTTTCTTACAGCACAGGGCTGCTGAGAAGATTAGCTGTGCGAAGTGCCCAGCATATAAGCTGGCACACACACAGCAAGAACACCATAAACATCAGGGAGAAGGCAGAGGAGCCAGCTGGCAGCAGATGGGGGTGGGGGGCGAACACAGAAGCGCCATGGGAGCTCAGGGCCTCGGCTTCTGCTGGCTGGCCAGTCCCCACGCACACAGGGCCAGCGGCAAACCCCGCCTCTGCTACATGGCCTGAGTGAGCTTCCCCACCTTGTCTGACTTAGGAAAGTGAGGAAAGGCCAGTTGACCTGCAAACTCTTCTCCGGGGGTCTCTCAGGCTCAGAGGTCCTTGAACTCGGGCTGGAATGGTCTGAGCTGCCATCTCAGAAGTCTTAATCATTAATCCCGAGTCTGTCATGTAAGCAGCGATGGAGTCTCAGCTCACATGTGGACTAGGCTTCCACTGCCTCCCAGCAGAGGTCCTTAGCAGTCTGCTCTCCTGCCCTCTGCACCCCAAAACCTGCCGGCCTTCCCCACTACCCCCCTGCTCCGAAACTGTTGCAGCCCTCCACCCCCAGCAGGGTCCAGGCACAGGCGGGGGGCGCCAGGCATGCGCGCCCAGGTATCTGGAGTGGGGCATGGGGGCTGCTGGCTGCCCTGAAGTGGCAGCTGGAGGCCGGTGTTGGTCTTGGCAGGAGGGGTCTCTCGCCCACTCCTGATTCAGGTATTGAGCACAGCCTGAGGCCAAGATTTGGAAACCTTTGTGCTGCCTGGCGGAACCTCCCTGATGCCATTCCTGGCCAGGAGGAGTGTGGCTCCAGGAGGCCGAGGGGGCGTATGCGTGTCTGCCTTGTGGGTGCAGGGTCCTGGGCACCTGTGAGAGTGTGAGCAGCCCCCACTTTCCCCAGTCTGGCTTGAGTGTGTCATGCTGGTCCACTTGCCCTCTGGAAACAAGCCCCAGAATATGAACGCTGTAATTTCAAGGTTCCACGTATGACATATACTCTGGCATTTGTACTTAAAAGTGGTACTGTGCAATGTAAAGATAAATGGTCATATTTGCACTCATCATTTAAAATTTCATTTTCCTTTACTTAGTGATAGCAAATGGACATTAAATAGCAAGTGGAGACCATAACACTCCAAGAGACAGGCCACAGAAAAAAGGAAATAAGCTTTCCACATAACTGAAAAGCACTTTTCTCCTGTTCTGTGCACTCAGGCCTGCGTTATTATTTATTATAATTATCATCATCATCATCATCATTATCATCATCATTATTATTTGCATTGGGCCCCCACCCATATGTAGTCAGGCCTGGCCCCCTCTCTGGTCTCGGATACAGCCCTGGCTATAGGGAGGAGTCACGGTGAGGCCCCCAACGGCCTCCCCACTTAGGGCTCAATAGTGAGGGCAGGACTCTCAGGAACACACTGCAAACTGTGTGCCAGCCACATGGCAGGACCCTCGACCCCCCAGGCTGGGGTTCCGGTGAATAGGAACGGTACCTGATGCATCTTTGTTCCTTACATCCAGCGCCCTGAAGGGCATGTATGGTCCCTCAGCAAACACTTGAGGAATGAAGACCCTTCTCCCTGTCCCGGTCCCCGCCCCATCCCCAAAAGGCAAACAGACAATGCAGGGGGCCTGACCTCATTTTCCCATCTTCAGGGACATGCTGAAGCCACGGCTCTGTCGGTAGAACCAGCACTTGCCCCACACAGTCAGGGACCCACCGGTAGCCAGGTTCTTAGGCAGCCATGTCTTAATCCAGAAAACACCCCAATCCAGGTCAGTTACAAGGTCACTGGAAGGGCTGGGATGGTGGAGAACTCCAGAGCTTCCTACCCCTCTGCCCGACATCTCTCCTCAAACGCTCTGTGATGCTGCTACCTCGGAGTCTTTGCACCCACAGTTCCTTCTTTCTAGAATATTCCTTATCAATATATGTGGAGGTCTGGCTCCTTTGCATCATTTGTGTCTTTGCTCAAACATCTCTTCTTCTAAACCAGCATCCTCTCCTGTCAGTTTTTGTCCCTTTTCCTGCAATGGTCACCTTCATAGCAGGAGTGACACTCATCACCTAACCCATCAATTTACTCCTCTCCATCCTCCACTGGTGTCCCCCATAACTGAAAGGCGCACGAGGGTGGGGCTTTACCTGGGGTGGAAAAGTGCCCAGGTACACAGCAAGTACACAGCAAATATTTGTTGAGTACACAAGTAAATAAATGAATGAATTTGATTATCATGCCCTATCCCCCCAGTTTTGCTCTATTTCTGTTCTATATACACTATATTTTTTTCCTCAAATAGGCTTGTTATTTTTTACTTATATAAATAATTAAAAAGGGGGAAAATTTACACTTTCCATAAAGATAATGTTATTCATTTTTCACTGGACCTTACTGCTAGATGCAGACTGGCCCTCACATGGATTCACACAGGCGCAGGTGTGGAGGGGACACTCCAGGCAGGGGTGGAGTTGGCACTGGATGGGCCAGGACCAGTCAGGGGCAGCTGGCTCCAAGTCTCTCGGAAGTCACCTTTCTGGAATGGACGTTTGTTCTCGGCTGAGACCAAGCTGCAATTTTCCTGTCTGTTTGGTTCCTGCTTATGTGTTTCTCCAAGTCCTCACTTGCTACAGGAACACGTTCTGCGCTCTGGCTGCCTTGGCATCTCCAAATCCCCACTTCATAGCCTGGCCCTGCCAGTGGAACCGTAATGGACCACTTAGAGCATGACCTTGGCCGCTATAGGGCGGCAGCTGGTGGCCAGAGGGCATTTTCAAGCACATTTGCCAAGCTTGGCAGAAGGCGCTAGGTGGCGTCACAAACAGGGAGGTGGCCGGTGGTCTCCCCTGTCCCAGCTGTGCCCAGGTTTGTTCTCATAGTCACGAACGGGAACCCGGGATGCCCGTACCACCCTGGCTTCTCCACAGCACACCCCAGCCCTCCCCCTCTCTTCCTGGAACCCCGCATTGCCATCTGCTCAGTTATACCAATGCACCCCATGTGAGCAGGCGAGCCTGTCCTGCACCCCAGGTTGTGGTGAGAGGCTGTACAGTGTGAGTGACAAACCCAGGCTCTGAAGCCTGGTGTCTCCAGTTCAAATTCAGATTTGAATGCTCAGCTTCTTTTGTAAATTTGAAAAGTACAGGGTGAATAATCTCAGCTTTATTCAAACTCACAGATTTTAATATTTCGGTTTCTTTTGTAAAATGTAAACAGTATTAGGCTCTTTAGAGGGCTGCGATGACTTTTAGGGAATAAGTGAAAAAGGCTTTGAATAGAACCAGGCACATAACAATAAGTATGTTAAGCATGTCAGACAGGTAGGAGGATGGACAGATGGCTGGCAGGTGAGGGGATCCATACACAAACCCTACAGAGCACCTGGGAAAAGCAGGAAATCGGTGTGCACTGCATTACCTACTACCTGCATTTCTAACTGTCCAAATTTAAACTTAGGAGAGAAGAAAAGCTCTTTGTCTGAGCCTGTAGGTCGTCCCTTCTTGCTTCAGAAAACCCTGGAGAGTCCAGAGGCCTTGGGGGATCAGGTGTGGGGTCACACTAGCTGTTGACCCTGTTCCTCACACAACAGAGCTGCGCGGACTGTGGGCAGGGCAACCAGGCTAACAGCTGCAGGGTCGGGGGAGACACTCACCTCTCTTGGTTTTCTTAGCCCCAACTAATGGTGTGTTCATTGTTGTTATTTTTTTATAAATATTTTTGTAAAGATTTATTTACTTATGCATACAGAACTGGGGTACAGGCCAGAGGTGCAGGGGCGGTGAAAGGATTCACCAGAGATAGAGTGGGGAGCAGAACAGGCAGACTGATGAAGTACACTGCTGAGGGGAGCAGCGGGCGGGTCAGGAGAGGTCTGCCACGCCATGTGGGTCACCTCCGGGGCAGGGGATTGAACTCGCACTGAAGTAGCTGTGGCCAGCTTGCAGTGCTGCATTCTAACCTGGGAGCAGGGGGCGGATCAGGAGAGGTCTGCCGCGCCATGTGGTCACCTCTGGGGCTGGCGGGGATCGAACTCATGGGGAAGTGACTTTAGCTTCTTAGTGCAGTGCTTTAACACACTGCACCACCAGGGAGAGCCTCATTGTTGTTATTTTTTAAAAAGATCCAAAGGTGGGCCCTCCCTGGTGGCGCATTGGGTTAAAGCACAACACTCAGAACCTAAAGCTATTTCTGCATGAGTTTGATCCCCGCCTGCCCTGGAGGTGACCACATGGCGCGGCAGACCTCTCCTGGCTCACTCGCTTCTCCCCTCAGCAGTGTACTTCATCAGTCAGCCTGTTCTACTCCCCACCCTGTCTCTGGTGAATCTTCTCACTGTCCCTACATCTCTGACCTGTACCCCAGCTCTGTATGAATAAATAAATAAATCTTAAAAAAAAAAATCCAAAGGAGCAAACTTGCCACTATAAAATAAATAAATCATAGGATGTCAGGTACATGGTGACATACCATCATGACCCTCATAGCAAAGGACCCAAGTATGACCGTGGTCCCTATAGACAGCCTAGGTGTGCAGGTTTGTGTCGCTACACTATGTCCTTCACACAGTTGGATGAG